AGAAATGTCTGTTCATATCCTTCACGCACTTTTTGATGGTGTTATTTTTTTTCTTGTGTTGCCATTGCTTTTGGTGTTTTAGACATGAAGTCCTTGCTCATGCCTATGTCCTGAATGGTATTGCCTAGGTTTTCTTCTAGGGTTTTTATGATTCTAGGTCTTACATTTAAATCTTTAATCCATCTTTAGTTAATTTTTGTATAAGGTATAAGGAAAGGATTCAGTTTCAGCTTTCTGCATATGGCTAGCTAGTTTTCCCAACAACATTTATTAAATAGGAAATGCTTTCCCCATTGCTTGTTTTTGTCAGGTTTGTCATAGAATCACATGGTTGTAGATGTGTGACATTACTTCTGAGGACGTCATTCTGTTCCATTTGTCTATATCTCTATTTTAGTACAAGTACCATGCTGTTTTGATTACTGTAGCCTTGTAGTATAGGTTGAAGTCAGATAATGTGATGCCTCCAGCTTTTTTTTTTTTTCCTTAGGATTGTCTTGGGTATGCAGGCTCTTTTTTGGTTCCATATGAAATTTAAGGTGTTTTTATCCCCAATTCTGTGAAGAAAGTCAATGGCAGCTTGATGGAGATGGCACAGAATCTATAAATTACTTTGGGCAGTTTGGCCATTTTCACAATACCAATTCTTCCTAACCGTGAGCATGGAATGTTTTTCCATCTGTTTGTATCCTCTCTCATTTCCTTGAACAGTGGTTTGTAGTTCTACTTGAAGAGGTCCTTCACATCCCTTGTTAGTTGTATTCCTACATATCTTACTCTTTTGTAGCAATTGTGAATGGGAGTTCATGCATGATTTGACTCTTTGTCTGCTATTGGTGTACAGGAATGCTTGTGATTTTTGCACATTGATTTTGTATCCTGAAACTTTGCTGAAGTTGCTTATCACCTTAAGGAGACTTTGGGCTGAGACAATGGGGTCTTCTAAATATACAATCATGTCATCAGATATAGATACAATTTGAATTCCTCTTTTCCTAATTGAGTACCCTTTATTCCTTTTTCTTACTTGATTGTCCTGGTAAGAACTTTTAATACTATGTTCAATAGGAGTGGTGAGAGAGGGCATCCTTATCTTGTGCTGGCTTTGAAAGGGAATGCTTCCAGTTTTGCCCGTTCAGCATGATATTGGCTGTGGGTTTCTCATAAATAGCTCTTATTATTATTATGAGATATGTTCCATCAATACCTACTTTATTGAGAGTTTTTGGCATAAAGGTCTATTGAATTTTGTTAAGGGCCATGTCTGAATCTATTGAGATAATCATGTGGTTTTTGTCTTTGGTTCTGTTTATGTGATAGATTACTTTTATGAATTTGCATATGTTGAACCAGTCTTGCATCTGAGGGATAAAGCCAACTTGATCATGATGGATAAGCTTTTTGATATGCTGGTGGATTTGATTTGCCAGTATTTAATTGGGGATTTTCACATTGATGTTCCTCATGGATATTGCCCTGAAATATTCTTTTTCTGTTGTGTCTGCCAAGTTTTGGTATCCAGATGATGTTGGTATCACAAAATGAGTTAAGGAGGATTCCTTCTTTTTCTGTTGCTTAGAATAGTTTCAGAAGACATCACATATCATGTAATTTAGTCACAAAAGCACATGTAGCTGAAGGGGTGGCACAGTTAGATGAAAAGGTGTATTCACTATTAGTGCAGCCATTTGTCCAAGTAAAAATTTATCTGTAGAAGAAATGAGAAGCTATATTTTAATAATCTAAGGTATAAACTCTAGCAGAGTCCATTTTGATGATTATACATCATTTTCCTCCATTATCCATTATTTTACAAATATCTTGTACTCTTCTCCCTTACTTTAGAATTCTGTTAAAATTCCCTCTTGGTGTGTATATATCACTTATGATAGACAATAACTGTGCTTCTCTATCATATTCTCTCCCACCACTGTTCTTTTTCTCTCTCTTATCTTAAGTAAAAATTGAGAAACATATTAATGTCACTAGATGCTGTTACAGAGCTACTGGTCTTCACACAGCACACTTTGGAAAACATGATCAGAGGCTTACTCACAGAAAATGTATTGATGATGACAAAGGCAAGGATAAGCTTCCCTCAATGCCAGCATTTTCCTCTACATTGCTGTAAGTGGGAGTGCTGCTTATTAACTTATTTTCTAATGATGGCCACTTCCTGATCATTTAAGAAATCAATATAACAACTCTCAGGATTTGGCTATAAGAGGACTCTGAGTTGGGTTGCATCATTTCTATCATGACAAGTATGTCAAAGAAGAGATACACATCCAGATTCCAGCCAATCACGTTAGCCCTCTACAATCTCAAATCATTAGAAGGATGGGGAAAACACATCACCATATGTTTTTCAGACACTGAATGTAAACACGTTGAGCAGTGTGAGCTGAGCTAGGCCATTTTTTTTAGCTTCTTCACACTTAAATTGAAGTTCATGCATTATAAATTGCCTTCAAGGGAGATAAGGATGACCAAAGTCTTCTCTACCTCTCTTTTTATCTCTAATATATAGGCTTTTCTTTTGTTGTTTCTCTTCCTTTACTATCAATAAAATCAAACGTACTTAATGGGACCCATGGAATCACTTGGAGGGATAATGACAACCACATTTGGAGAACATGTAATTTTAGGCCCTTCTGTCTTTCCTCCCATCCTAACCCTCTGGCATCTATCTCCTACCCTCAGCCCTTACAGAATTTGCTATTAGATATTCAGCCATTGTCTTGGTATACTTTCATATACTTAAAATGAATTACTGACCTTGAGATAATTTATACGTTAAGACTTATATAGGGTGGCAATGATTGATATCTAACTTTAAACCAAGAAGTGGATTTGAAGGAAAATATAATGTATCATCAATACTTATATATCCCTCAGTAAGATCAAAAATATATGAATTAGCCCAATACAAATTAAATTACAATAATTTTTACTTTTGCATGTTATTTTTTAAAATTGTGACTTGGTTTTATGAGGCTACTCATTTAAATGGTGTCTGATCTTCCTATGAGCAATTTATTATATTGCCCTATAAATACCCACTGAGTGCTGTTATGTGCCAAACGTTGTTCTAGAAAATCTGCTTGGAACAACGAGAGTAAGTGAATAAATGAGAGCCCAATTTTCTATATACCAAGAAGTTTATATTCTAGAAGTGGGCTATAGCCAATAAGTGAATAAGCAAATGGATGTTTGTGTGTTTGTTTATATAATATGTATGGCGGTGATCAATGAATGCTAAGACGGGCAAAGCAAGGTAGGGGTGAGTGGGTCCTAGTCTAAACAGATTGATCAGTGGACTCTAAATAGATTGATCAGGAAAACCTCTCATAAGTGACATTTGAGTGAGCTCTGCAGGAATGAGAAAAGGGATAATTGGATATTTAGAAAAAGCATGTTTCAGGGAGGAGAAACGACAAGTGAAACGGTTCTGAGACAGTAATATGTTTGTCAAGTTCAGAGAACACCTAGGAGCACAGTGAACCCTGAGTAGGGTGAGTGAGCAGGGAGAAAGACAGCATGAGATCTGAGAAATACTAGGGCAGGGCGGGGGCAAATGGTATAGGCAAAATAAGAATTTTTTTTCTTTTTCTCCTAAAGAATATGGGAAGCTATTGATGAATTTTGAGTAAAGAGCTAATATGATCTAACTTACTTCTATAGGAATGACTTTGCTACCTAGATAATAGAAACAGAGCAATCATTGCATAGAGACCACTTAGAAGGATATAGTGTACTCACTTAAATAAGAGATAGCAATAACTTTAACTCAGTAATAGCTGTAGATATGTTTAGACATGTTAAGATTCTAGATATATTTTGCAAGTAGAAGTGAATTTGCCCTTAGATAGAACATTCAGACCAGATGAGACTACCTAGGGAGTAAGTATGAATAGAAAAGAGAAGCATTCTAATAGCTGAGCCCTAGCGATCACCAGGATTAAGTGATGGGAAAAATGAGAATGTATCCATAGAGAAGAATGAAGAAATAAAGTTCATTAGAAGACCCATGAAAGAGGAGATCTCAGAAGCAAGTGAAGTGTTTGCAGAAACATGAAATAATCAACTGTTTTAAATGGTGCTAAAGTAAAAAGAACACTAAGTCTTGACCATGGAATGTGAAAATGTTGAGATCTTGTCAAAAGCTGTTTTAGTGGAACAGTGGAACAACAGCCTGATTGAGCATCTTCAAATGCATATGGAGGAAGAGTCAGTGAAAAGAGTGAGTAGAGTCACTTCAAGAAATGGGATAGTTGCTAGAAGGAGATATGTGGGTAAAGGAGAGCTTTTTAAGGATAAGAAACACGTAAGACTCTGGGATGCTAGTAGGTATTATACCTTAAAGGGGGAAGCTGATGCTGCAGGAAACAGTGAGGACAATTGTAAAGGGTTAGCAGAATGGGTCAGGGGGAGAGTGTGCTTTGAGTAAGAAATGAAGGAAGAACATCTTTTTGACAGTTATTGAAATGTGGAAGCATCTAGCAAAATATTGGATGAAACAAAATAGCTTATATATTTGGGGAGTGCACACACATGATGTGAAAGGTACGGAGGGGAGTAGAAATACAGTTTCGTGTTTCAACGTGAAAAAGTGATGCATATTTCTTAAGATAACAGCATTAAAAGTCATACGTGATTGACCAGATTGTCATCTTAGCACTTTTTCTTGGAAAGAGACCTTTTATAACTCTCTTCTTGACAAATTCTGAAGTGTTATACTTGTGTTTTAGGGGAAGTCTGATTTATCAAATTGGAGGATAGAGATAAAGAAATACTGAGGTGGCATTTAAAAAAATCATAGCACTCCTTGTCAATAACCTGTGTTTTTGTTACTGCAGATTTATTAAGTATTGTGTTTTATGCCTTGAGGTTCCTGGAATATTACCTCAGCATGCATTCTGCCTGCAAAGTCCATATAAGTTTCTGGGTTGATTCTTCCTAATTGTAGTAACATTGATTGCTGTCTAAATTTGTTGCAGTGTGCCTGAGTACTATGACTATGGTCATGGAGTAAGTGAGGATGCCTATGACAGCTACGGTAAGACCTTTTCTTTACTAAAACTGTGAAATCAGAACATCCATCCGTCACTGACAGCTTGAAAATTATTTCCATCTTTCTCCCCCTAGTTTTTCCAGAAGTCTAGACTAAATTGATCTATGTAATTCCAGGGTGAGATGTGACTTACACAGCTAGTAGCAGAAAATTAGATCAATTTTGATCAAAATTGTAAAAGCAATTAATCACAATCATAAATCACTTTCAACAGCAACAGTGATCATTCTGAATAGTGTCTTATATGTTTAACTATGTTCATTGTCTGACTCACTGATTTGGTAACAATACTGTGTCTTTCTGCTGTCAAAAGATGCCATAGTTATATATATATTTGAAATATTTATAAATTTTAAGGGCAGAAATTGTTATTATAAAGTAACTCTCAAATTATTTTTCTAGCATGCATAGCCAAATAATGCTTGGCTCATAAGAACTGATAGTCAATAAGGATGCCAGTCTATAAATTAATTCATTTAAAAAGACATTCCTTAATGAAAATACCACTTTAAAAATCATATTCAGTTAAGATCTATTGAGTTTCTAAAATATATTAATACAGTACATCATTTTTGAGACATAGTTTGTGATTCCTTAAAATACATACATGGCATCACCAGGTGACCACTTTGAAAAATGACACTCATTTAAATATTTATAGTCTTGAATTTTTATTAAAAAAATACCAAGGCCGCTGGGCATTGGTGCAGGCCTGTAGTCCCAGCTACTCCAGAGGCTGAGGCAGGAGGATTGCCTCAGCCCAGGTTTGAAGCTATAATTGTGCAATGATCATGCCTGTGACTAGCCACTGCACCCCAGCCTAGGCAACAAAGTGAGACTCTGTCTTTAACAAAAATAGATAAATTAAATAATACCAAGTTCACTTTGTTCCTCTCAATGGGGAAGAGTAAAGGAGACTATGGGACTTCATAGGATGCTGCATCAGGATGGTGAAGGGTACGTGATGTGGAGAGGAAAGGCGGAAGAATATCTTACCCTAAACCAGTCATAAACACAAGGCGAAGCCTGGAAGTAGGAGGAGAAAAATAAGCCACCACCATAATTATTGCCAAGCATAAGCTGATTACAGACATTTTGTATTTATTTCTTTATAACAAATTGAAATATTCAGTATTTTTATCTCCATTTTTATGAGGAAACTGAACAACAAAGTTGAAGTCAATGTGAGAGTTGGCTATGAGGCTCAGCTCTGTTCTTATTTTCTCATCAGTGGTTGGAATACCTATTAATTGATGCTACCACACACGGAGTACTTATTATGACTCTGTATTAAGCATTTATGATGCGGATTAGTAATTGCAGAAGTAATCCTTATAGAAATTATACATCTATCTATTTGTATACTCTAACCCCATTAGAACCCTCTAGAGAAGGATGGGAAACAGATAAGACTTTGGGATGCATACTTAGTTTCTCACTTGAAAAATGCAGATGACAATATAAGACTCAGAGCATTAAGTGCCTTGCCTTAGTTCAACAATTTGCCAGTGACAGAGAAAGAATGTGAATTCAAGTGTTTTATTTATTTATTTGGTTGGTTGTTTATTTTGTCAGGAGGCAGGAGTAGGGTTCAGTAAACTTGGTAAAAAGATTAGGATGTGGTGCTTTAAACCTGAGTTTGTTTAGAGGAAAGATGTTCAGCTTCCTTTTTAAAATCCTGAATCTTCCTTCCTAAATTTGGATTTCTTAAAATGCGATCACTTGCTATTTCACTATTTTAAGGGGAAGGAGGTCTTTTATACTATTTTATAGGAAAAAGTACATAATTAATCCAAAATGAGCACTAGGCTTACTCTCTCCCAAATCCAAGGTTCTCTAGCACTAACCAAATTAATTAACCTAATCTTTTGCTGCTACGGGACATAGAACAATTTTCCAAAACAAATTAACATACTTTTCAGAAATTATTTCACAGAAATATAAGTGATGAACAAGTCTGCACATATCTGGCTCAGTTGGTAAGCTGCTTTAGGAAGTATAGCTTTAATTTTGTTCCTTATGTATTTTCCATTCATTGGAAGGAAGAGGTCAGAGGCATCAGATGGTATTTCATAAAAACACTACCCTCTAAAACCCAGGATGTCTCCAAAGCCACACCAAGGGGCCAGCCAGGCTGAGATGTGAGACTGCCTAGGGTCTTAGAGCATCTACACCTGTCCCTGCAGCACTCTTTGAGTTCAACGCAGTAAAAACTATATTTCTCTTCTTCCATGCACATTCTTAATCACATAGGAATCAGGCCAGAGCCTTGTACAACTGGTTACTCAGGATGATCCATGAATAAGACACAAACTTGGCCTTTCTTTAATTCACTGAAAATTTGCATATACGTATTGATGCACATTTGTACAAGGTGGACATTTAGTGTTGAGGAACTTACACCTACATATAAAAGATTCCACCAGATTTTAAACCATGTTATGTAATAATTTTATACAAGTCCCGAGAACATTACTCATTTAACAAATATTTACTGAATGGCTAACGCATGTAAGCCATTGTTCTCAGTCTTGGAGATGTTGTAGTGAATAATATGAGAAAGCATATTATTATTTGTAAGTAGTGACTTTTTGAAAAATTGAATTTTTACTTGCAAAATACAGTCATTATTTTTTACATTTGATACATCAGTTTGAGGAAACTCATGCTCATGGGCTTTACAGAATTAACATGCACTGAAATTAATGGAAAGGATAAATTTGATTATATTTGGCAGGATAGTTGGCGATAAGAGATGAGATTTCTATTTCTGAATTATTTACATTTTGAAATGTCAATACCATGTAATGCTATTGAAAAAAGTGTGTAAATACAAACTATTGCTCGTAAAGCCTTTTAATGGAGATGCAGGGGCTGTGGTCAGGAGGGCCAGGACTCACCTCTATAATCCCGTGAGTCTTACATTGTACTTTCTTTGTAGTCTGGTTCTCTAGCTGTAGCAAAGTCTACAGAGAAATGATCCACTTTAGGAGCTCTACCTGCCCATAAGCACTAAGTTTCATTAGTGGCCAAATTCCATTTACCAACAAGAAATTTTCTGCACATAAAAAGTAGTCAATAAATTCTTCATAACAAAGTAATAAGGAAAATATAGAAAGGGATTGGACTAAACAAAATAAGGAAGATATTAATTAGACAGCAATTTTCACTGAATAACTTTTATTTACCTATCTTACTAAGTTTTAATCCTCTTTTTGCATAACCAAAGAATAAAGTACTTGCTGTAAATCCATATCATCATAAGATTTGAATTTTGAGAATCCTCATGATCTCACATCCTATGCAGGCAACAGAGCAAGGACAAAGAATAGTAAGAGCTCAGCACCATAACCTTGCAGCCCAATTAATATGCACTATGTGCACTCAGATTGTGGTTTTAGGTATTACATAGTATATTAGATACTAGGTAGTTGGTGATAAGTTGCTCATAATAAAATATACAAATGGGCAATGATAAAAGGTAAATACATACATTGAGCAGTAATTTGAGGACTCACAAAAGTCAAATACCGATTTTCATTAACTGTCCATACTTCATATGTTAACTATTACCCATTTATAGCTCATCTTTAATCAATGCTATACGATTTTTAAATCAATAATGGTTATTCAAAAATGTAAATCTCATATCTCCAGTTTTTCATTAACTTCCATTCTAAATAATAGCTCCTCTCTGTTTCACTGTGGTTGTATCATGGGTACAGGTACAAAATACCAATGTATTTTTATAAAACTAATAGCCTCAATTTTGACCTGGCAATCTCCCCCTGCCGCAAGACTTGGAGAATTATGTGAGGAATCTTACAGTCACCTCTCTCAGACACCTTCCTTTCCAGCTCACACTGGCTGGAAGAACTGTGGGGGCAAGTGAGGGACTGGGAAGGAAGAAGGAATGCTCTCCTGAATGACAGAGTCTTGCATTCCAAAGACTCATATATGGAACTTCTCATTTAGAGTTCCTCCAGAAATGATTTAAAATAAGTTAGCAGAAATAAAAATTGAGTCCTTCAGTGGGACACTTCATTCCGAATCTTCATATTTTATGATGTTTTGTGTAAAAAACTGAAATTGTATTTGTCTTTTTTTGGTCCTGTATTTTACCACTGAAATAATAAATATGTTGACTTTGAGAAAATAATTTATTATTTTAGGTTTTATCACAGTTAAATTATTCAGGATATTTGCAGATAATATTAAATATTAAACTATCTTGCTGATAATGTAAATATAAAATTTAAATATTAAAATTGCAAATGGATTTTATTAAAATATAATTACCTTGATTATAAAAATTAATGTTTAATGCATTGGTATTTATTAAATATTTAATTGATTTTAAATTGGCTATAAATTAATATGTAAATATTACATTTCTTATAACTTGAATTTGTTTTTGGGGCATGAATATTTGACTTACAGGAATTCCAAATCAGTTTCTTCAATTTAAAAATATTTTCTAATTTATCAGAATCACTGTAATTGTTTCAGATGAGTCTGAATAGCTTATAATTCAGTAAGGCTGCATTTTAAATACAGTGCCTACATAAGCTTAGCTAAGCAATGCTTCACATAAAAATACCCTCTAAGTTCTCTCTGAGATTGATAGCTAAGAATGGACAGCAATATTCCCTTTTTGAGAATAGAGCTATTTATTAAAATATACTTAATGTATGAGCTGAAGAGCTAATTATGCATCCATTCTTTAGTGGCATTTTAGATGACAGCTGTGTGGAAGCAAAGAGGATAATATTAATACACTATCTTGAATGAAAGCAAAAAGAAATTTTGTGCCATATTCTAGGGCATTTGAGTGCCTCACTTCAAGTCAATTGCAGAACACAAATGTATTCATTTTGTGTTAAGAAGCTGGAATGACTATTTTCCCAGTGTGAAAATAAGTCCTGCATCGATTAATCTGTGAAATCAGCAAAGGAAAATGAAGCTAACTGGCAGTTGGGTCAGAC